GCCTGAAACTCTCAGACTGAAGAAGTCTCTTGGAAGAGAGACGAAACGTTTCATTAAAGAAGAACCCGTCCAGAGGACCTATACAATTTTTTTCCTTTGTTAAGACACAAGGTGGCTCAGTTGGTAGAGAGAGTTTGCATGTTCTCTCCATGCATGCGTGGGTTCTCTCCKGGTACTCCAGCTTCCTCCCACAGACCAAAAACAYGACTGTCAGGTTAATTGATAACTCTAAATTGTCCCTAGGTGTGAGTGAKAGAGTGAATGGTTGTTTGTCTTGTTTGTCTCTATGTSTGGCCCTGTGATGGACTTTGCGACYTGTCCTGGGTGTACCCCGCCCCTCGCACTGTGACTGCTGGATATGGGCAYCAGTGACCCCCGTGACCCTAGAAAAGGAAAAAACGGGTATAGATAATGGATTGATGGATAAGACATGCTTATAGTTTAAGTAACTGGTTGGATTCATCAGGTGTCATGGATAAATATAATTGAGTATCATCAGCATAACAATGGGAATTTATCCCATGCTGTTTAATAGCTTCACCTAATGGAAACATCTATAAAGTAAAGAGGATTGGTCCAAGCACTGAACCCTGAGGAACTCCATGACTAACTCTGGTGTAAGAAGAAGATTCATTATTAACATTAACAAACTGAAATCTGTCAGTTAAATAAGACTCAAACMATTTTAGAGCTGTTCCTGTAATCCCAACATCAAGTTCAAGTCTACGTAATAAAATATTGTGATCAGTCATATCAAATGCAGCACTGAGATCTAATAGGACAAGAATGGACACAAGTCCACTGTCTGAGGCCATGAGAATATCATTAGTAACTTCAACCAGTGCTGTTTCTGTGCTGTGATGAGCTCTAAACCCTGACTGAAACTCCTCATAAAGATTATTTTTGTCCAGATGTTCACACAAATGTTTTGCAACAAACATCAAACTAAACAGATGTGACAATCACTGTCTTATTACTTATTTTGATCTAACTGATCTTGTGTGTTTGAACAGCACAGGAAGATGGCCTTACCTGCTGCCTGTCTGTCTGAGGACCAGTTCACCTGCTCAATCTGTCTGGAGGTGTTCAACAATCCGGTCTCAACACCATGTGGTCACAGTTTCTGCCAGTCCTGTATCTGTTCCTACTGGGACCGAGGAGGGGGAGGACAGAGTGCAAAGTCTTATCAGTGTCCCATGTGCAAGGAGTCCTTCCAGAAGCGTCCAGAACTACATATCAATCGAACTCTGAAGGAAATTACTGAACAGTTCAAGCAGCTGGCCAGCTCTGGTTTGTCATCAGCAGACAGTGCTGTGGTACGGGGGTCTCCTAACGCACAGCCTCACCCTAATCTGCCTGCTCCTCCAAGACACGGGGACATGCCCGAGAGTATTTTTGTAGAGATGGTGGCACGCTTTCAGCGGCTGAACCCTGCTGGGATGCCACACGTCGGTTCTCCTGAACCTCAAAGCTACTTCTTTCAGACTCAAAACAACAGACTCCTTGAGCCACCACCACCACCACCACCTTACTCCACCTTTAACAGGTACTCTTACAAGTTCTCTGAAAACCTGAAAACCAAAGGCAGAACTGTAATTAGTGTGATTTTATCAGCACACAATCTCCACCAGAAATTTCTTGAATATTTAAAAAAATGTTAATAACTTTGTACTCTGCACAAAAAGAATGCAAATAAACATTAGAAGGAAAGTAAGATAAGATAAACCTTTATTGTCATTGTACAGATCACAATGAAATTGTGAACATTTATTAGCCAGAGGAGTAAGTGAGTTTAGGGGGCGTGTATCTGAAGCCTGAGTGTTGTATGCACTTGTGTGAATATCTGAAAAATGTGCTTGAAGAATCCAGTCCCCAAGAATTTAGATCCACAACCCTTCAAGGCCATGTTGGCGGGAGTCGAATCAGTAATCAGTTGTTTGGGAACAGAAGTTTTGCTGGCTTGATTACAGAAGTGCTTCTGATCACCTCACCAAACTGGAAACTGAGCAGGTTTTAATGTAAATACTTCATCCATCCATCCATCCATTCATCCATCCATTTTCTTCCGCCTATCCGGGGTCGGGTCGCGGGGGCAGCAGCTTGAGAAGGGAGGCCCAGACCTCCCTCTCCCCAGCCACTTCTTCCAGCTCCTCCGGGGGAACTCCAAGGTGTTCCCAGGCCAGCCGAGAGACACAGTCCCTCCAGCGTGTCCTGGGTCTTCCTCGGGGCCTCCTCCTGGTGGGACGTGCCCGGAA